TAACTGAAACTATATATATGTCATTTTATAAGATATTACAAATCCTTTTGCTTTTAAATGAATAATTAAGAAACACCCTTGGTCTGTAGCCCTTGGCTGAAAAGTCGTTTTGCGCAACTTTTCAGATCGTGCGCTTTGAGTGGCGCCACCGTCGTTGTAATCAAACTGTAGTCGTTAGTTTTAAAACATTAAAAAATGGTGATTGAACCATGAAACTTTTTATGTAGCGTAATTTTAACCTAAATTAACTGAAAATACACCTAGAACCTAGAGTAAATGATCCCTTTAACATTTGACGCTGTTGTGGATTACAGGTGGAAAACTTGCCGGAGTGAACCCTAAGATCAACAACATGATGCCAGCGTACGAAGCTGCGAAATATGAGCTGGTGATGGTGTCGGACAGTGGACTCCGAAGTACGTAAACCCATGTAGCAGACGGTCGGTCGATCGGACGCCACGCCTACGAGGAAATGAAATTATCGATGTAAATTAATGCCGCATGACGAAAATTTAAAATAAAATAAGTCGAACAAAATTTAGTTGGTGAAATAAAATGGATGGAAAATCTTAGAGGAAATGTGCACACACATGTGCTGTTCTGTTATTTTCGGTATGTGTATTCACTGTACGGGTTTCCCCGGGGGATGCAATGCAGAATCTTACGTGAACACAAAATTTAGACTTCTTCTTGATTATTTTACTCTAAATTATTTCATTCAAACCTTGGTGTAACTTTCTACGTTACATAATGTTTGCCCTGCGTGGCATAATTGGATTCTAGCAAACTCGGCATGATTCTTAGAGCATAATAAGACTGATACCCTTAGTATAGTAGAAGCGATATGACAACGGCACTCACGTAACTGTTGGAGATTGGTTATATACTCGCTACTGCTACACGCTTGCGTGCGTGCGTTCGTGCGTGCGTGCGTGCGTGCGTGCGTGCGTGCGTGCGTGCCTATGTTGGTGGTGTTTAGCTTGTGCTCACGCATGCGTGTGTGGATGTTTGTCTCACTGCAGTGAAGGAGGACACGCTAACAGATATGGTGAACACGATGACGGATCGAGTGGGCATGGTACATCAGATGCCGTACACGTGCGACAGAACCACCTTTCCTGCAACTCTAGAGAAGGTGAGATATAATCCTATTGCTTGTTGGTTATCCGCATGCGTTACGAAGCGCTGGGGAATTGCAATGATAAATCCATATAAAAGTATCTCTTAAAAAATATAAAACGTAGACAAATTGGGTCTTGCTTATTTGCGGTCACATTACTGTTTTCTCCACAATAAAAATAACCACGAGTCTGTGCTGTTATAGCCAGCTACCTGTCGGGGCAGAAGACCAAGGTCGCGCTTTTGAATTGTCAATTGCAAGATTAAACTAGATCCTCTCGTGTGTATTTTGGTTGGCTGTGGGGGTGGGTGGGTGTCACCACTGACTAAGTGTATTTTGGTTGACAGTGGGGGTGGGCGGGTGATAACACTGCCTAGATGTTTTTTGGTTGACAGTGGGGGTGGGTGGGTGATACCACTGCCTAGATGTTTTTTGGTTGGCTGCACACCACTGACTAAGTGTATTTTGGTTGGCTGTGGGGGGTTGGTGGGTGGCACCACTGACTAAGTGTATTTTGGTTGACAGTGGGGGTGGGTGGGTGTGACTACTGCCTAGATGTTTTTTGGTTGACAGTGGGGGTGGGTGGGTGTCACCACTGCCTAGATGTTTTTTGGTTGGCTGGGGGGGGGGTGTCACCACTGCCTAGATGTTTTTTGGTTGGCTATGGCAGCACTGACTAGATGTTTTTTGGTTGGCTGTGGGTGGATAGGTGGGTGGCAGCACTGACTAGATTTATTTTGGTTAGCTGTTGGGCAGTGGGGGAGGGAGGGTAAAAGAGGCCCCATTTCTAGGTTTATTTATCTTGACTCAATATGTCGGTCGGTGCAGTTTCTAATGCTTAGAATGTTGTTAAGGCTCTCCTTGAAAGACTTCCACCACCTAAGTCTGACTCAGCGTAATGTTTTTTTTCGACACTGAGCTGGACTAAGTTGCAAGTCACCGTGTAAGCATAGCACTCTCTCTCTCTCTTTTTCTACCCGAACGCTGCTATCGATTCCGCCTTTCCTAGTTTCATTTTTCGCGGGGAGGCGACTAATGGCCGGGTAATCCGACAGTGCTGCTTCGGCAAGTCGAGCGATTAGTGTACTTATGAAGCCATGCATATTGAATTACCTAATGTACGTTCAATGTGCTGTAGGGCTTCTTCGTGTGACAACGCCCACGCAAAGTTGATGGGGGAAAAACTCACGTGGAATAGCGGTAATTCCGCGTGCACGCTGTACTATAGTAAGAGGTGTTTAGGATGATAAAGTGCATGCTTTGCAAACATGTCGTTCGATACGCGAGATCGTAAACTCTCCGAAGCTCGGTTGATAACGGCCGTGACGTTTTTTGCTGTGAAACGATCGGGTGCTAAAATTGAACCCTCCCCCCGGCGGCGAAAATGTTGTGCTGGACACAGAATACGCTTTGTAGGGAATTAGATTTGGTTGCCCGTGGCAGTCCAAGATGATGAATGTCTTGAAAGAGGGTGTTGCCCGTATTTTTCCGACACTAATCAGCTGATCGAGAAAGATGTGCTACGCATAATTGCTACGAACGCGATATTTCCTCTTATCAAAATTGCGCGGCTATCTTATATGCAGAACAACATGCTGTACTTTTGAATATGATTAGTGAGTAGTGCATGGTTTTGGGATGAATGGCAGATGGTGATGTGATGCTTGATGTATAATGTACGCCTACACATCTCTCTTTGATCTCGAATTCTCCGCTATAAACTGGAATATATACTGTTCATACAACATGCAACGCGCACTTGCGATTCTGGCGAAAGCCGTAAACCCTTCGCTCGTAGACTGAAGTGGATAATCTCACGACGTTGCCGATCGCATTCCGTATGTTGTCCACCCACCGTAGAAGTCCATCTTACAGCTCTATCTAACACTAATGGCCCGCGTGTTGTTGTACATAAGAGCAGCATTAGAAGGAGGCTCTCTCTGTGTGTCTCTCTCTTTCGCCCTCCCTCCCTTCCCTCCTCTCTACCCCCTCACCCTCTCCCCCCTTCTCTCTCTTTCCCTTCTGTATGTCTCACTTTCCTTCCCCCCCTCTCTCCTCTCTTCCGCCCGCTCTCGCTGAGCTTCCCGAGGAAACTCGATTAAAATATCTCAGCGGCTTGTAACCAGCAGGAACAAATAGTGTTTTAGTTTGTTAGCGCATTTTCGACTGAGTGCGCATATGAAGCCTGCGTCACGCGGACACTCAATACTGGACTCTACTCTCTCTCTCTCTCTCTCTCTCTCTCTCTCTCTCTCTCTCTTACCGATGCTTTACCGCTGTCTGCAGCGCACACACTCGTGTTTTACGTACGCACAACATTTTCACGCAGTTATGGAGCGCAGTAGCGCAGTTCACTGGCTATGGAGCCAGTGGGTTGTTTAGAACCAGTGGGTTCGTTGTCATGCCACCGTGACGTCACACTTCGGTACTCTATTCATATATATAATTAGGGTAGATTTTGAGCGTAGGCGAAATGGGTGTGCCGTGTAGGCCAACTGGGAATTTTGCTGTAGGTGAAATGTGAATTTTGCCGTAGGCGAAATAGGAGTAGGCCAACCGGGAATAAACCCATGAAGTACCAGCTATATGCTAGTGCTCTTTGCTGTTGACAGCTTGACTGACTGACCACTGCTGTGTATGCAAATATGTAGCGTGATATTGTAGCGCGATGTTGGACTTTGTGCTATTGAGATCATGCTAAATATTTCCTCTCATGTTAAAATAGGTGCTAGCTAGGTAACCTTTGCTCAGAATATGCTGTGAAGCTTCTCGTACAAATCTCCCATAAATTTAATTACCAGCATAGTTTTTAATGTGATGTAAAAACACATGGAGTATTTTGATGTTCACTATTATTCACTGTAAGTGTAATGTTGAATTTATTATCATGAAATGATTACAATTACTGGACTTTTTTACTGTTTCGTTTACAATATGCCCTATAGGCAGTCGAATGGCTAGCAAAACATAACATAGCTAACATTTCATTTTATACAATAAGTTTACCACAGATTCCTACACTTAAACTGACAGTCCAGTCATTGGCCCCAGTGCGTGTCTGCAATAGGTAAAAATATAAGTAAAATTAGGGCTGCCTGCTGAAATGTATGAAATTCTGGTGCAATTCAGGTAGTGTTTTAAAAATAGCACAGTCCAGTTTTAATTGTCCCTATATCTCACGAGAACTCGCCCCTCCTAATGTAATTGTGGTGCAGTATTTGTAATGTGGCGAGAGAAAAAATGCTGAACGTACCAAATTACCAATTAAATTATGGTTTTCGAGTGTAAAAAAGAGACAATTTAGGTGAGAAGTTTGCGTAACAACGGGTTCTATTCACGTGTGAATAATCACGAAACGGATTCGCTGACAACATTTCCATCTACGTCCAGGATTTCACTATAGCTATATTCATTCGGTTAATAGCAATGACATTTTGCTTAGGGGGGAAAAAATGCATCGCACACATGCAGTGTGTACAATCGACATAGTGTAAACGTTTATTATTTTCTAAAACTGGGATGGCTGGTTTATTCTGAGGCACTTCTCTGTAGTTAGCTTAAAGACATTGAACTGTGTACATCTACTAACTGTATAGCTCGATGAAGACATTTGCTGATTCCCATTATGGAGATAAGGTTAGGTTAGGTTCCTGGTTCCTGGTTCCTGGTTCCTGGTTCCTGGTTCCTGGTTCCTGGTTCCAGGTTCCTGGTTCCAAACAATCTTTATCTATGACGTGAAACTGCATAGAAAGAATTGCTGTCCCACTGCACACCTTATCTATACTATAATTTGGCTAATCTTGTGTGTGTGTGTGTGTGTGTGTTTGTTTGTCCTCGCTTTTCGCCCTGATTTGTCACTCAATCGCGCTAACTGAAGATATATTCAGAATCACCACGTCTGGGAGATGGTTCTGGCTGAGAAATTTTAAAAAATAAGTTAAAGTATTAAGTATTAAGTCAAAAATTCGAAAAAATACTATTCGTCAATAGATGGCAGTGCGTACAGCAGATCCACATCACATACGTGGGAATTACACTGCGTCTCTTGACTGCCGCCGTATGAGCATATTCAGAATCACCACGTCTGGGAGATGGTTCTGGCTCAAACAAAAATCTATTCCTCAATAGATGGTGCTACGTCTCAGATCCCCCCCCCTTCCCCTCCACCTACCAACTAACCTCCCCTCCACCTACCAACTAACCTCCCCTCCACCTACCTACATCGTCCCCAATCTCCCTCTCGCTTACTTCACCTACCCTCACGTGGTGGCCAAGTACTTCATAGGTACGTATCTGCAACCCTTCAAGATCCACTTCCTTCTACGTGCCTCTCAGATCTCTCTCAAATAGTACAGTCTATCAGTATAGCCATCCACCTACCTCTCCGTATAGGCCAGCATGAGCGTGCCATGCAGCCTACCACATGTTCCTCCACTTACCACTTCATTGCTTTTACCTTTCGTTTAGTTGCAGGAAGAGAGAGGTGACACGCCCGACCTTCTCCGCCAGCTGACGCCTCCTCCTTCTCCTCCTACACACAGCCTCACTGATCTCCCTCCACATTCTGGCAGTGAGGTGACACCCGTGACCTCCTCCTCTTGAGTCCTCCTCCTCCGCGGGCGACGGACCGGCTTCAAAGACACGCGTTCCTCATCTCCGCAGCTTCCTGTGTTGTTAAAACATTAAGTAGTAAAACCCGCTGGCGTGCAACGACGCCGCGTGCGTCTGCGGCCGTCGCCGCGGATCAAAGCTAATGGCTTAATGTGGGTGTTTCAGCCCAGCTCTTGAAATTCATTCTGGTAGCGAGTGACGCGGAGTTATTTCCTGTAATTGGCTCCGGTCATGAAACGTCTGGTGATTGCGTAATGGAATTACGTTAATCGGCGAAAATACGAAAGAATGCGCAGTTTTATGCTCGCAAGCACGTAAACCAAAAGAAAAGTAATGCGCGGGGGATCATTTAAAAAGCAGATATTTGTATTGACAACCCTTCCCTGCAGTGCAGGCGCTAGCTCTGTACTATACCCTTCGCTTGCCGCTCGCGCCGCCGCGTCGCTTCTTGCGGTGGAGCGAAGGGTATAGTACTAGAGCTATGCAGGCGCATGTTGCCTAAATGATCTTAAAGAACATCTACCATGCCGCATCGGCTGTCGTTGGGGTGGGGGCAGGGTGTGGTGGGGGTAGACAGACGTGCTCCTCGTGCAAAGTAAATTCCATTTACGGCGTCGTCTGCGCAGCGTGGCATGAGCCGTGGGACCTCTTCCCCTCTCCGCAAAGAAAAAAACGACGACGACGCATATTCGGCCGTCCTCGCGGGAAAATCGTTTGACGTGATTTCTAGCGGTAGTTCGATGACAGGCGATCGGTCTGTCTCGCGGGGCGTGGTCATCGCATGCACTCTCACTCCGTCACGGTCGCTCGCTTTGCCGCGGTTGCTTGCTCGTCCATCGCCGCATGACTTATTACGATATAACCGCGCGTGTGCGTGTTCGCGACGTCATTCGTCCTCTCGCGTCGCTTAGCTGTGATAGTTTTTACCGTTTTGATTATTCAAATACGTAAAACATGTTTGTGCGGACACATACTTTGGTACTGCGGAAGACACTGTGTACAATTGTCTCTGCGTGCGTGCGTGCATGCGTGTGTGCGCGCCTTGGACAGCAGAGTTAAAGGGATACTAGACTCTAGGATTTTACTGCATACAAGTTGATACAACTGTACTTACTGTATAACAAAACGTCTATACCCACACGTACTTGTTACCAGATACCTAATTTAAATGTTATAATTAGTTATACATCAACGCTACGAAATTTGAACGGAGCCATTGTCACCAGCAACCGTACTGCCACCTTGAAAAAGTTGCGCATTTCCCAATATATTTTGCACGTTACA